AGTAAACAGGATAATAACTAAGGTATCAACAGCCTATAATGTTGTGATTTTACAGTAAACAGGATGCAGGATAATAACTAGGGTATCAACAACCTAATGTTGTGATATTACAGTAAACAGGATAATATCTAAGGTATCAACAGCCTAGAATGTTGTGATTTTACAGTAAACAGGATGCAGGATAATAACTAGGGTATCAACAGCCTAGAATGTTGTGATTTTACAGTAAACAGGATGAAGGATAATAACTAGGGTATCAACAGCCTATAATGTTGTGATATTACAGTAAACAGGATGCAGGATAATAACTAGGGTATCAACAGCATATAATGTTGTGATATTACAGTAAACAGGATGCAGGATAATAACTAGGGTATCAACAGCCTATAATGTTGTGATATTACAGTAAACAGGATAATAACTAGGGTATTAACAGCCTATAATGTTGTGATATTACAGTAAACAGGATGCAGGATAATATCTAGGGTATCAACAGCCTATAATGTTGTGATATTACAGTAAACAGGATGCAGGATAATAACTAGGGTATCAACAGCCTATAATGTTGTGATATTACAGTAAACAGGATAATAACTAGGGTATTAACAGCCTATAATGTTGTGATATTACAGTAAACAGGATGCAGGATAATATCTAGGGTATCAACAGCATATAATGTTGTGATATTACAGTAAACAGGATGCAGGATAATATCTAGGGTATCAACAGCCTATAATGTTGTGATATTACAGTAAACAGGATGCAGGATAATATCTAGGGTATCAACAGCCTATAATGTTGTGATATTACAGTAAACAGGATAATAACCAGGGTATCAACAACCTAATGTTGTGATATTACAGTAAACAGGATAATAACTAAGGTATCAACAGCCTAGAATGTTGTGATTTTACAGTAAACAGGATGCAGGATAATAACTAGGGTATCAACAGCCTATAATGTGATATTACAGTAAACAGGATGCAGGATAATAACTAGGGTATCAACAGCCTATAATGTGATATTACAGTAAACAGGATGCAGGACAATAACTAGGGTATCAACAGCCTATAAAAGGTCAACCGTATCCACCATGTCCTAGATCTATCAATGGGAAATGAAGCACCATATTAAAAAACAACACAATACAAGCCTGTAGTGTACAGCTCACGTCAGAGGAACCCACGGCCCTATTGATAAATCCTATCAGCATGATGATGACTACATCTCTCCTTAAGACTGTAGTCTTCAGGGCTGTTTAAAAGCCTTACCTTTGTCTCACTGCTGACCTTCTTTGTCTACTGCAGGCTGTTGTGTTGTCCAATCATTGTCCAGTTGGTCTCAGTACAGAGCTTCTATACAAGAGTGGAACTGTACACTTCCTGCAGTAGGAGACTGAGGCCGTGTCCCAAATGGCACCCTATGGGCCCTGGTCAAATGTAGTGAACTACGTAGGGAACAGGTTGTCATTTGGGACGCGGCATGTGAGGAACACCACTCTGTTATTGTACCCTTGGATGATGTCATCACCAAGGCTGACGGAGATGTTTTCAGACTCTGGCCATGATATTTCACAAGGCCTTTTTGAGAAGCAGAAAATAAATTATCAGTGGGGACAAGATACGTTTTTGAATGACAACCCCAAACCCAAAAGCTGAAGCTAATTAGACATGTTGTGCCATTGACAGAAACGGGTTTTGCACCTACAGAAAAGCCCTGACAATGATATATATTATTCTAATAAAATAATATAGAAATGCATAACAGGACACAGTGCAGACCAACAGCACACCTACAAATAACAGGACACAGTGCAGACCAACAGCACACCTACAAATAACAGGACACAGTGCAGACCAACAGCACACCTACAAATAACAGGACACAGTGCAGACCAACAGCACACCTACAAATAACAGGACACAGTGCAGACCAACAGCACACCTACAAATAACAGGACACAGTGCAGACCAACAGCACACCTACAAATAACAGGACACAGTGCAGACCAACAGCACACCTACAAATAACAGGACACAGTGCAGACCAACAGCACACCTACAAATAACAGGACACAGTGCAGACCAACAGCATACCTACAAATAACAGGACACAGTGCAGACCAACAGCATACCTACAAATAACAGGACACAGTGCAGACCAACATCATACCTACAAATAACAGGACACAGTGCAGACCAACAGCACACCTACAAATAACAGGACACAGTGCAGACCAACAGCATACCTACAAATAACAGGACACAGTGCAGACCAACAGCACACCTACAAATAACAGGACACAGTGCAGACCAACAGCATACCTACAAATAACTCACTAGCAGCACCATCACCAAGTAACATTCTGAGTATGTTGTCGATCACTAGCAGCACCATCACCTAGTAACATTCCGAGTATGTTGTCTATCACTAGCAGCACCATCACCTAGTAACATTCTGAGTATGCTGTCGATCACTAGCAGCACCATCACCAAGTAACATTCTGAGTATGTTGTCTATCACTAGCAGCACCATCACCTAGTAAAATTCTGAGTATGTTGTCGATCACTAGCAGCACCATCACCTAGTAACATTCTGAGTATGTTGTCGATCACTAGCAGCACCATCACCAAGTAACATTCTGAGTATGTTGTCTATCACTAGCAGCACCATCACCAAGTAACATTCTGAGTATGTTGTCTATCACTAGCATCACTATCACCAGGTAACATTCTGAGTATGTTGTCGATCACTAGCAGCACCATCACTAGGTAACATTCTGAGTATGTTGTCTATCACTAGCAGCACCATCACCTAGTAACATTCTGAGTATGTTGTCGATCACTAGCAGCACCATCACCTAGTAACATTCTGAGTATGTTGTCTATCACTAGCAGCACCATCACTAGGTAACATTCTGAGTATGTTGTCTATCACTAGCATCCCCATCACCAAGTAACATTCTGGAGTATGTTGTCGATCACTAGCAGCACCATCACCTAGTAACATTCTGAGTATGTTGTATATCACTAGCAGCACCATCACCAAGTAACATTCTAAGTATGTTGTCTATCACTAGCAGCACCATCACCAGGTAACATTCTGAGTATGTTGTCGATTACTAGCAGCACCATCACCAAGTAACATTCTGAGTATGTTGTATATCACTAGCAGCACCATCACCAAGTAACATTCTGAGTATGTTGTCGATCACTAGCAGCACCATCACCTAGTAACATTCTGAGTATGTTGTATATCACTAGCAGCACCATCACCAAGTAACATTCTGAGTATGTTGCCTATCACTAGCAGCACCATCACCAGGTAACATTCTGAGTATGTTGTCGATCACTAGCAGCACCATCACCAAGTAACATTCAGAGTATGTTGTCTATCACTAGCAGCACCATCACCAAGTAACATTCTGAGTATGTTGTCGATCACTAGCAGCACCATCACCAAGTAACATTCTGAGTATGTTGTCTATCACTAGCAGCACCATCACCAAGTAACATTCTGGAGTATGTTGTCTATCACTAGCAGCACCATCACCAAGTAACATTCTGAGTATGTTGTATATCACTAGCAGCACCATCACCAAGTAACATTCTGAGTATGTTGTCTTATCACTAGCAGCACCATCACCAAGTAACATTCTGGAGTATGTTGTCTATCACTAGCAGCACCATCACCAAGTAACATTCTGGAGTATGTTGTATATCACTAGCAGCACCATCACCAAGTAACATTCTGAGTATGTTGTCTATCACTAGCAGCACCATCACCAGGTAACATTCTGAGTATGTTGTCTATCACTAGCAGCACCATCACCAGGTAACATTCTGAGTATGTTGTCTATCACTAGCAGCACCATCACCAAGTAACATTCTGAGAATGTTGTCTATCACTAGCAGCACCATCACCAGGTAACATTCTGAGTATGTTGTCGATCACTAGCAGCACCATCACCAGGTAACATTCTGTGTATGTTGTCAATCACTCGCAGCACCATCACCAGGTAACATTCTGAGTATGTTGTCAATCACTGGCAGCACCATATCACCAAGTAACATTCTGAGTATGTTGTCAATCACTGGCAGCACCATCACCAAGTAACATTCTGAGTATGTGTAAAGGTACTTGGTAAATAAAGGATTCTGAAAATAACAAGTTTGCTTTTTTTAACGAAATCTCTATTTTTGATGTAAATTGCCAGTAATAGAATAGTTCAGACTGTTGGTTTTTCCATGTGTGATCACCACGGCTACGCTTTCTATCACCACTATGGGAAGGAGAAAGCACATGCTTCTTTCCACTATCCCCATTTAGTTTGACTGGTCAGTAATAATGACCTTCTAAAGGTCAAGGCAGAGCAGTGGCATTGATGAATGAATGGATGGATGGACAATGGGGAGAAGTAGAGCAGCCTTCCATGAAGACAATAAATGGATCATATTATAAACGAGGCTTACTGCTTAGATTTTAATGTGTAAAATTAAATAGAAATAGGCTCTGTAACAGTGAATATTTACAAAAGTAGGACATTTATCTTGTATACACTGATTTTCACAAAATGGGATCTGAACATCATATTTACAATGGTCGTGCTTAACACGAAAATGAAAAATATATTCCAAGAACTGAATCAGAAAACCAAACAAAAACATCAAGGGGAACAGAAGGTGATGTTTAAATCAGAGAGACCAACATGATGATTTAACCAACAGCTAAATAATATGGACATTAAAACCAGTCACTGAGGGGTTCAGTCCACAACAGGGTCTAAAAGGTATGGATAGGTAACAGCAATATGGAAGCTGCTTCACCTTGCCCTCTGATAGCCAATCGGTGACATTCTTGGACCTATAAAATCCTTTCAGATCTGTACAAGTGGCAAGGAACTAGGGGTTAGGGGTGTGGTGGGATTAAGGACTAGGGATTAGGAGCTAGGGTTTGATGTGTCGGCAGAGCGAGGCGATCTGTGTGATGCAACTGGTGACAGCGGGGGGGACGGGCTGGGTGGTCTCTCCTCGCCATGACGCCAGCGCAGCCAGGGCCTCCTTGGGGTTGCTAGGCGACAGGTCATAGACAGTGTAGACAGCTGCCAGCTGGACCTCCCAGGGAACACCTGGAAATGACATCACAGAGACTCATTGGTTGGCCATCTGTCCAATACAGACACACAGATCTGTCCAGTCTCATCTCAGCAGAATTACTTTTGATATTTTTTTTTTTTTGAAGGGTTATGGTTACAGGTACAGGTATAACATTAGAAGGGTTAGAGTTACAGCTTTTACATTTTGCGTGAAATAGAAATTGTGTGAGCAATAATAGAACCAAAGAGTCGTTTCCATTGTTTAAGAGACCACCTCTATCAGGCCAATAGGAGAGACCATATTATATTGTTTAATGGATATATCAGTGACCAATAGGAGACACCATATTATATTGTTTAAGGGATATATATCAGTGACCAATAGGAGAGACCATATTATATTGTTTAAGGGATATATCAGTGACCAATAGGAGAGACCATATGTGACTCGTTTCAGGAAACTAGGCGTACAGTGCTTTCGGAAAGTATTCATACCCCTCGACTTTCGCTATACACCAAGTCACTTGGCTCTGTCATATCCTCACATGGCCTCTCCTATCATTGCTACGCAGACGACACACAACTAATCTTCTCTTTTCCCCCTTCTGATAACCAGGTGGCGAATCGCATCTCTGCATGTCTGGCAGACATATCAGTGTGGATGACGGATCACCACCTCAAGCTGAACCTCGGCAAGACGGAGATGCTCTTCCTCCCGGGGAAGGACTGCCCGTTCCATGATCTCGCCATCACGGTTGACAACTCCGTTGTGTCCTCCTCCCAGAGTGCGAAGAGCCTTGGGGTGACCCTGGACAACACCCTGTCGTTCTCCGCTAACATCAAGGCGGTGACCCGATCCTGTAGTTTCATGCTCTACAACATTCGGAGAGTACGACCCTGCCTTACACAGGAAGCGGCACAGGTCCTAATCCAGGCACTTGTCATCTCCCGTCTGGATTACTGCAACTCGCTGTTGGCTGGGCTCCCTGCCTGTGCCATTAAACCCCTACAACTCATCCAGAATGCCGCAGCCCGTCTGGTGTTCAACCTTCCCAAGTTCTCTCACGTCACCCCGCTCCTCCGCACACTCCACTGGCTTCCAGTTGAAGCTCGCATCTGCTACAAGACCATGGTGCTTGCCTAAGGAGCTGTGAGGGGAACGGCACCTCCGTACCGTCAGGCTCTGATCAGTCCCTACACCCAAACGAGGGCATTGCGTTCATCCACCTCTGGCCTGCTGGCCCCACTACCTCTGCGGAAGCACAGTTCCCGCTCAGCCCAGTCAAAACTGTTCGCTGCTCTGGCACCCCGATGGTGGAAGAAGCTCCCTCATGACGCCAGGACAGCAGAGTCACTCACCACCTTCCGGAGACACTTGAAACCCCACCTCTTTAAGGAATACCTGGGATAGGATAAAGTAATCCTTCTACCCCCCCCCCCTTACCCCACCCCCCTAAAAAATAAAAAAAAAAGAACAAAATAAAAAGATATTGTAAAGCGGTTATCCCACTGGCTATAAGGTGAATGCACCAATTTTTAAGTCGCTCTGGATAAGAGCGTCTGCTAAATGACGTAAATGTAAATGTAAATGAACGATGCTGAATGGGTGTAGACAAAGAAGTGCTCTCCAGTAGGTGTACCAAAACATTCAAGGAACATTTTCTCAAAAGTGAGGTTACAAGCTTATCAACTTTCAAAGCAAAATTACTTCCCCATTGTTCCTCAACTGTAGTGTATGATATACCATTTTCTAGCTCTGAGTCTTTACTTTTATCCAATGTAAAAAACACCATTTCAAATGTTGCTACATAAGACCGAATTGAGGCGGTCGGTCACATATTTCTCTCTATACTCAGCCAGGGGGCAGACCAATCATGTCTAAACCAATTTAAGACGGGGCGAAATGCTAGTGCCTGGAAATACAATTTAAAGTTTGGTACGGATAGTCCTCCTACGTCTTTCCCTCTTTGTAAGTTTATTAATTTTAACCCGGGATCGTTTACCTTGCCATATACATTTTGAAACCGCACTTTGAATTGTATCCCAATATCCAGAAGGGAGAGACAAGGGAAGCATTGAACTGCACAAATTCAGTCGTGGCAGTATATTCATCTTGACAATAGATATTCTGCCGGTTAAAGCCACTGGGATGGTAGTCCATCTGAGTAAAACTACCGATGATATATATATATATATTTTTAGTCATTTAGCAGATGCTCTTATCCAGAGCGACTTACAGTTAGTGAGTGCATACATTATTTTTTAATTTTATTTTTCATACTGGCCCCCCGTGGGAAACGAACCCACAACCCTGGCGTTGCAAACGTCATGCTCTACCAACTGAGCTACATCCCTGCCGGCCATTCCCTCCCCTACCCTGGACGACGCTGGGCCAATTGTGCGCCGCCCCATGGGTCTCCCGGTCGCGGCAGGCTACGACAGAGCCTGGATTCGAACCAGGATCTCTAGTGGCACAGCTAGCACTGCGATGCAGTGCCTTAGACCACTGCGCCACTCGGATATATATAAGATGAACCATTCAGAACCTTTACAGTAGATTACCTTCCGACTGTCCATGTCTGGCAAATGTGTTGATGACACTGGCAATGTTCTTCACAGACGAGCTGCATCTCTCCTTTATTCCAAGCTGCCCAAGGCGCCCTACGAGGAGGTTCTCATGGTTAGACTTCATTGGTCAGTACAAATCATATCAAGTGTTTCATAAAACAATTATACACAACAACCACCACCACCACCCACCTATGAGTCTGAGGACTGCAGCCACAGTGACATCCTGGACGGGTGTCTGTCCTGATCTGGGATGGGTCACAGTGACATCCTGGACGGGTGTCTGTCCTGATCTGGGCTGGGTCACCCAGGAGTTCATCATGGGCCACAGCTCTTTACTTTAAAACAGATAAATAAAGAACTAAACAGTTAAGGCCATGATTCACTGACTGATATGGTGATACATACACTACCCAACATACTGTTTCTACTGTGTTCAGTTTGTCATGTTGCCTCAATATCCACTGCAGTGTGCTAGCCATGCTAATCCAAGCCTATGTTAAAGATGTACTATGCAGAAATCGCGCCGCCATTTCCTGGTTGCTAACATTCTAAAAAGTTTGCTTAATTTCTGTGACAAAACAAGCATGGTGTAGAGAATCATTGTACCATCCAAATCGCTGTGAAATACATTTTCCATAACCAAAAATATAGTATTTTCAGCTGTTCGAAGCTGGTGTACAAAACCGAAAGTAAAAGACGCAAAAATGAAACTTAAGACCGGAAGCATAGAAAGAGCGCACATAGAACAGATCTACCGCTTCTTAGACTTGCTTTCAATGAGAATGACAGATCGGTAACTCACATTTCTATGTGAATTTGGTCGGGTCTGCAGTTTAAATCAATGGGGCTACTGGCTGAGTTAGCTACTTAAATTATTATCCAACCATCCAATGCTTTACAAAATTATTTTTAGGTTGTTTTTACATGCTGACTAGCTAGATTCATATCTAGCTGGATGGTCATAATGACATTAAGAGTTTGCTAAATGTTTTTTCTTCATTGTTTGTTAGCTGATGAATTTCAGTCCAGCTGTGGCAGTCATCAACAAGCAATAGGAGGACTGTTTTGTACCTCAGTAGGTTGTCATGGGTCCACTTCCAGCGTGTATGAGAGCAGAGCAGCTCCAGGGTGAAGATGTGTTGCCAGGCAACAGGGTTCAGGTCCTCTCCCTGTCGGGGGTGTTTCTGGAAGGTCATCTCAGCTGCAGCTCTGACGGACATCAACGTGCAGGAAACCAACTGATCCAAGTCACTAGGAGGACTCTGGGGACACAGACATTGCATGAAGTCAAAACCCAGCAAGCTTCACAATACACATACAGGAAATGGCCAGGCATTGCCTTCTCAGTGGCAGAATACTGACAACACTTCCCTCTGTTAATGGATCAAACAGTGGAGAACAACAGACAACAGTAAAGCCATAACCCATTCATGCCCACAGAACAACATTACAGAGATGCCATACCTTCTCCCATCCCAGGTAAGCAGTTAGGCAGTGGAGCACCTCTCCTTGTGCTTTGGCCTTGGTGACCGTGTGTATGGCCTGACACACTATAGTCCTGCAGGAGAACACGTTGGGCCACGTCGTCACCATGAACAGAACCAGCTTGGTTGACTCAGGGAAATCTGTGGCGAAGGAAAACAACATAAACTAAGTCAACTCAAGCTGTGAAGTCACGTGATGTCAGTCAACTCAAGCTGTGAAGTAATGTGATGTCAGTCACCTCAAGCTGTGAAGTCACGTGATGTCAGTCTACTCAAGCTGTGAAGTCACGTGGTGTCAGTCACCTCAAGCTGTGAAGTCCCGTGATGTCAGTCAACTCAAGCTGTGAAGTCACGTGATGTCAGTCACCTCAAGCTGTGAAGTCACGTGATGTCAGTCACCTCAAGCTGTGAAGTCACGTGATGTCAGTCAACTCAAGCTGTGAAGTCACGTGATGTCAGTCAACTCAAGCTGTGAAGTCACGTGATGTCAGTCAACTCAAGCTGTGAAGTCACATGTCAGTCAACTCAAGCTGTAAAGTCACGTGATGTCAGTCGACTCAAGCTGTAAAGTCACGTGATGTCAGTCGACTCAAGCTGTGAAGTCACGTGATGTCAGTCGACTCAGGCTGTGAAGTCACGTGATGTCAGTCAACTCAAGCTGTGAAGTCACGTGATGTCAGTCAACTCAAGATGTGAAGTCACGTGATGTCAGTCAACTTAAGCTGTGAAGTCACGTGATGTCAGTCACCTCAAGCTGTGAAGTCACGTGATGTCAGTCAACTCAAGATGTGAAGTCCCGTGATGTCAGTCAACTCAAGCTGTGAAGTCACGTGATGTCAGTCAACTCAAGCTGTGAAGTCACGTGATGTCAGTCACCTCAAGCTGTGAAGTCACGTGATGTCCCAAGTGAAGTCACGTGATGTCAGTCAACTCAAGCTGTGAAGTCACGTGATGTCAGTCAACTCAAGCTGTGAAGTCACGTGATGTCAGTCAACTCAAGCTGTGAAGTCACATGATGTCAGTCAACTCAAGCTGTAAAGTCACGTGATGTCAGTCAACTCAAGCTGTGAAGTCACGTGATGTCAGTAAACTCAAGCTGTGAAGTCACGTGATGTCAGTCAACTCAAGCTGTGAAGTCACGTGATGTCAGTCAACTCAAGCTGTGAAGTCACGTGATGTCAGTCAACTCAAGCTGTGAAGTCAAGTGATGTTTGTCTATAAGGATGCTGTAGGCCAGGATGTGTTACCTTCTATAAGGATGCTGTAGGCCAGGATGTGTTACCTTCTATAAGGATGCTGTAGGCCAGGATGTGTTACCTTCTATAAGGATGCTGTAGGCCAGGATGTGTTACCTTCTATAAGGATGCTGTAGGCCAGGATGTGTTACCTTATATAAGGATGCTGTAGGCCAGGATGTGTTACCTTCTATAAGGATGCTGTAGGCCAGGATGTGTTACCTTCTATAAGGATGCTGTAGGCCAGGATGTGTTACCTTATATAAGGATGCTGTAGGCCAGGATGTGTTACCTTCTATAAGGATGCTGTAGGCCAGGATATGTGCTCTGTCCCAGTCCCTCCTCTGTCGGCACAGAGCAGTGTAGACTCGAACCAGAGCCTGGAGGTGAGAGCCACTCAGCTCAGTCCTCTCAGTCTTCAGCTTAGTCAGCATCACTGACATCAGATCATCTGCCAGAGGCTGACAAGTCACAGGACAACCATGTACCAATGATTCAAAGGACAACCATGTAAGAGGTGTTTAGGTCTACAAATTAAAGGGATACTTGGGGATTTTGGCAATGATTTTCCCCAGAGTCAGATGAACTTGTAAATACAATTTGTGTGTCTCTGCGTCCAGTATGAAAGAAGTTTGAGGTAGTTTTATGCGCCAATGCTAACTAGCATTAGCACAATGACTGGAAGCCTATGGTCTATGGTATCTGCTAGCAGATACCATAGACTTCTAGTCATTGCGCTAACGCTAGTTAGCTATTGTGCTAGAGCTAGTTAGCAACTTCCTTCAAACTGCACGGAGAGACATAATGGTGTCCACGAGTTCATCTGACTCTGGGGAAGTAGATAAAGGGTTGCCTCATTGTCAAAATCCCGAAGCATCTCTTTAAAGACACTAAGATAAATATGCTATGTAGACTACTAGATAAAGCTGTAGGTGACTAACCTGATTGTTTGAGAACTCAGAGAGGACCTCCTTCTCCTCATCGCGTAACACAGGCTTCCTAGACAGATTCCCAACAAACAGGTGACTCTTGATGACAGGCAACAGGTCAAAACACTGGGCTGCTATCTTCTCTAAGGCCTGGGATATGGAGGCTTTGACTGCTGGTTTCCCAACCACTTTTTCCTTCTCTGTAGGCTGTGAAGTACTCCCGTGTTGAGGTTTCCTGAGTACTGGGTCTGGACTGGCTGATGCTGTGGAGGATATCCCCTTAGCGGCAGGGCTGGCTGTTGCTGCAGCAGGGCTGGGGGAGCAGTTATCCAGCCTCAGCCTTTTGGCACTCTTTGGTAGAAGCATGCTGACTCCACTTCGCTTCCCTCTTTGCTCCGTTTTGGTGAAAGCCGTGGACGAGGAGTTGATGGTTTTGAAGCCAGATATCTGACTGACAGAGCTGGAGGGTGTTGTCCCCGTCTCAGCAGCAGACATACAGAGGTTTCCTCTGAGAATACTGAGAGTCCGAGCACGGGCGGAGAGTTCTGGATACATGCTGTCTAGAATCCTCATGGAGTTCTCCTGGGCGGGACTAGTGGAGGAGGAGGAGGAGCTGAAGGCAGGAAGTCTCCCTGGAACAGGAACGGCATGTTTAGGAGTGGCTGAACCAAACTGCAGTGGTGAGGAAGGGGCTTCAGTTGCTGGCGGAGGAGTAGTTAGAGACGGGGAGCTCAACATCTGACCATCAGGTGCTGTTTGGGACCCCACAGGGGAAACAGGCCCTTCCATTGGTGAGGGAAAGGACAGTTTACCAATCACCTGTCTTGGATTGCAAGGTTTTACCGGTCTTGGAGGAGTTACAGTGAGAGGCATAAGAAGAGGGGGTAGTGGAGGACCCATTTCAAAGCGAACCTTCCCAATAGGAACTTTCCCTGTAGGTTCTGGGGAGCGGCCCACAGGCAAGGCTGCTGTACTGATCCCTTCTCCTCTCATGTCAGGGCTGAGTCTTTCAATGATAACTTTACATGAAAGGACAGCCGTTTGCTGGCCTTCTCTGGGAGCGGCACCGTCTCTGGGAGTGGCACCGTCTCCAGGAGCGGCACCGTCTCCGGGAGCGGCACCGTCTTTCACTGAGCTGGTTTGGACTGTGTTTGATCTAACAAGACTCTTCCTGACACGCCCACTTCTAGTACTGATCATCTCAGTCTGGTCATTTCCACTTGGTCTCTCAGACCCTTCATCTGTCAGCTGGGACTTAGATGCTGACTCAGACCCATCATCTGTCAGCTGGGACTCAGAGATGCAGTCTGTGGTTGTAGGATTCTTACTGTCAGCGTTCATATCCTGGTGTTGTAGAACATGGACTGGGCGATCACCATCTTTCAGCGTCCCGTTGTTCAAAGGCTCCTTACTCTGTAGCTCTGTAGGAGACTGTGGATTCCTAACATCTGACCCTGGGTCTAAAGCATCTTTCTTTACATTCATCCTCTTCAGTTCTGTACCAGATCTCAGGAGCTTCACCTTCACAACAGGGGAAAGACATACAGGACTATCTAAACTCTTGCATACTTTATGGTCTTTGCTACTCTGAGCGTTGCGTTTTGTTGCCTGGATATCTTCATGGGGTCCAGATGTTATAGTACAGTTCTCTACATTCTTTACAGAGTTGATTAAACTGTCAGTAGAGATGTGGACACCAGATTGTGGCAGAGGTGCCAGAGACTTCTGTTCAAATGATGATTCCTCTGCCCCAGAGGAATGCCCCGACCTATGCTCCTTCAGTGCTTCTGCAGGATGACTGGGGGAGACCAGTGCTTCTGCAGGATGACTGGGGGAGACCAGTGCTTCTGCAGGATGACTGGGGGAGACCAGTGCTTCTGCAGGATGACTGGGGGAGACCAGTGCTTCTGCAGGATGACTGGGGGAGACCAGTGCTTCTGCAGGATGACTGGGGGAGACCAGTGCTTCTGCAGGATGACTGGGGGAGACCAGTGCTTCTGTAGGATGACTGGGGGAGACCAGTGCTTCTGTAGGATGACTGGGGGAGATCAGTGCTTCTGTAGGATGACTGGAGGAGACCAGTGCTTCTGTAGGATGACTGGGGGAGACCAGTGCTTCTGTAGGATGACTGGGGGAGACCAGTGCTTCTGTAGGATGACTGGGGGAGACCAGTGCTTCTGTAGGATGACTGGGGGAGACCAGTGCTTCTGTAGGATGACTGGGGGAGACACATGTTCTTACTGCATCACCAACCTGTTTCCAAGAGAAACCCCCTTCATCGTCTGAATCTGATTCCTTGCCTGTAAACAACTTGTCTTCTCTGCGGGGCCATGCTGGAGGAGCTGCTTTCTGATCAGTTGTTTTACATTGAGTGTTAGGAGCCCATTCAGTCAGTTGATCTGGACCAGCCACTGTCTCAGCAGAACACTCAACCAGAGGACTGGGTTCCAACTGTTTAGTGGTGGTTGTTTCAGACACGCTGGCCTCTCCTGACTGATCTTTAATGCTTTGTACTTTCTCTGAGTCCTCATGGTTGATGCTCCGACCCTCCAAGACACAGCCCTCATAACATGGGGCAGTCTCAATATCCATCTCTGTCATGTCTGGTGAGGAGTCCTCCATTTCTTCTCCTTGTGTCTGGGTGAGTGAGGACTGAAGGGTCCCAGTATGGACAGAGAGGTTGCCTGGAGGCTCTACTGAGTTTGGGAGATACTCTGTGGCTTTGGTAAAGGAAGGTAGATCACCAGAGGAGCTTTGACTCTCTCCTGAAGGGGACTGGATGGTTTCAGCAGCTGGTTCTACCTGCATGTCTTCCTGTTCACAGACAGCCACGCTGTTCCTCTCTCTCTCTACTGAGGTCCCTGTGGCCAGATCAGGGCTTTCTCTACGAGTAGAATGAGTTAGTTCCGCTGAGGAGTCTGCAGGCTGTTGTCCTGCCAACCTAAGGGCCATCTGATTGGCTGGTTCAGGTTGCTGTCCTACTGTCTGATTGGCTGGTCCTGTAATGTAGATAGAGTGGTTTCTGTTCTCTAGTGGAGATCTGGTCTCTCCAGCTCCTAACTCCAAGACATCATCCAACCTCTCCTGAGCTGAGGAGCAGGGTATGGGGGAGAGTACAGGGGGCAGCGGCTTGAACCAGTCCAGGATCTCCTCAACTGTTCTTCTATGTTTACGGCCTAAGTCACTGTTCCTGCTGGGTCCATGGCCCGGCTGGTCACTGTTCCTGCTGGGTCCATGGACTGGCTGGTCACTGTTCCTGCTGGGTCCATGGCCTGGCTGGTCACTGTTCCTGCTGGGTCCATGGCCTGGCTGGTCACTGATCCTGCTGGGTCCATGGTCTGGCTGGTCACTGATCCTGCTGGGTCCATGGTCTGGCTGGTCACTGATCCTGCTGGGTCCATGGACTGGCTGGTCACCGATCCTGCTGGGTCCATGGACTGGCTGATCACTGATCCTGCTGTGTCCATGGTCTGGCTGGTCACTGATCCTGCTGGGTCCATGGACTGGCTGGTCACCGATCCTGCTGGGTCCATGATCTGGCTGGTCACTGTTCCTGCTGGGTCCATGGTCTGGCTGGTCACTGATCCTGCGGAGTCCATGGACTGGCTGGTCACCGATCCTGCTGGGTCCATGAACTGGCTGGTCACCGATCCTGCTGGGTCCATGGCCCGGGTCATTGATCCTGCTGGGTCCATGGCCCGGGTCATTGATCCTGCTGGGTCCATGGTCTGGCTGGTCACTGATCCTGCTGGGTCCACGGCCTGTGGGAGAGACAGACAGAGCGATATGATGATGTTCTGGTCTGTTGTAACAAGGGGAGGTCCATTATGTCATCATCACAATGCGTCCTGAATACATACCAGGGAGGTGTGATGAGGGAGGATCTACACACACCCACAGATCCTCCAGCAGCCTCCGGACCTTCTCTGTAAAACACACCGTCGTATCAACACTGTAGTACTACACCTACACTACAGGTCAAAGGTTTTAGAACACCTACTCAATCAACGGTTTTTCTTTTCAGCATGGCTGCCACAGCATTCTGCAGCGATACGCCATCCCATCTGGTTTAGGCTTAGTGGGACTCATTTGTTTTTCAACAGGACAATGACCCAACACACCTCCAGGCTGTGTAAGGGCTATTTGACCAAGAAGGAGAGTGATGGAGTGCTGCATCAGATGACTTGGCCTCCACAATCCCCCGACCTCAACCCAATTGAGATGGTTTGGCATGAGTTGGACCGCAGAGTGAAGGAAAAGCAGCCAACAAGTACTCAGCATATATGGGAAGTCCTTCAAGACTGTTGGAAAAGCATTCCAGGTGAAGCTGGTTGAGAGAATGCCAAGAGTGTGCAAAGCTGTCATCAAGGCAAAGGGTGGCTATTTGAAGAATCAAATATAAAATATATTTTGATTTGTTTAACACTTGTTTTTTTGGTTACTACATGATTCCATATGTGTTATTTCATAGTTTTGATTTCTTCACTATTATTCTACAATGTAGAAAATAGTAAAACTAAAGAAAAACCCTTGAATGAGTAGGTGTTCTAAAACTTTTGACCGGTAGTGTACATCTGTTCAATAAATCATACAACCATTGAGCAAAATTGTGTGTGGTATCAACTTTAAAAAACCTATATAAAAACCTACCTTTATCAACCTTCGTTTCTTCAGGTGCCGTTGCTTGAGTTGATGTACTCTTTAATACTGAACAGAGACATGATTGGACTTAACAAATGCTGTGATATAATACCAATACTAATAATACTACTACTATTAATGATAATAATAATGCTATGAACAGCAGTGTTACCTTTATTCTTCTCAGTCTCCAGTTTCTCTAGTCGTTCCTGGAATAGAAAGAGGGTCCAATCAGACAGTCTCAAACGCTTTACAGTTGTTATTACAGCCAACCAGACAGTCTCAAACACTCTACAACAGTGGTCACCAACCTTTTCTGAGTCAAGATCACTTTCGGAGTCAGAATGCAAGCCGAAATCTACCGCTCAGATTATGGTTAAACATGACTTTAAAAAAAGTAAGCCTATGCAACATTAACCAATTAAAACAGTTCTGTAGCAATGAGGTTTGTGTAGTAGGCTATAGGGCCAATACATTATAACTGCATATTGGCTACGCTTGACTTGCCCTTCCAATGTTGTTGTTCTCAGACCATTTAGAAAACATATTTAAAAGTGTAGGTAACTTGGTAGAACTGGTAGTAGATCATGTGTTGTATTACTTGTGAGGAACAGCTGACGGAATATAATAATATGCTTTTTATTTTACTGATCTGATGGTCAGTCTGAGAGGAGGAGTAGTGGTGAGGCTGACTGATGGTCTGATGGTCAGTCAGAGGAGGAGTAGTGGTGAGGCTGACTGATGGTCTGATGGTCAGTCTGAGAGGAGGAGTAGTGGTGAGGCTGACTGATGGTCTGTCTGAGGGGAGGAGTAGTGGTGAGGCTGACTGATGGTCTGATGGTCAGTCTGAGAGGAGGAGTAGTGGTGAGGCTGACTGATGGTCTGATGGTCAGTCTGAGAGGAGGAGTAGTGGTGAGGTTGACTGATGGTCTGATGGTCTGTCTGAGGGGAGGAGTAGTGGTGAGGCTGACTGATGGTCTGATGGTCAGTCTGAGGGGAGGAGTAGTGGTGAGGCTGACTGATGGTCTGATGGTCAGTCTGAGGGGAGGAGTAGTGGTGAGGCTGACTGATGGTCTGATGGTCAGTCTGAGAGGAGGAGTAGTGGTGAGGTTGACTGACGGTCTGATGGTCAGTCTGAGAGGAGGAGGAGTGGTGAGGCTGACTGATGGTCTGATGGTCAGTCTTGAGGGAGGAGAGTGGTGAGGCTGATGTGATGGTCTTGAGAGGAGGTAGTAGTGGTGAGGCTGACTGATGGTCTGATGGTCAGTCTGAGAGGAGGAGTAGTGGTGAGGCTGACTGATGGTCTGATGGTCAGTCTGAGAGGAGGAGTAGTGGTGAGGCTGACTGATGTCTGATGGTCAGTCTGAGAGGAGGAGTAGTGGTGAGGCTGACTGATGGTCTGATGGTCAGTCTGAGAGGAGGAGTAGTGGTGAGGTGACTGATGGTCTGATGGTCAGTCTGAGGAGGAGTAGTGGTGAGGCTGACTGACTGGTCTGATGGTCAGTCTGAGAGGAGGAGTAGTGGTGAGGCTGACTGATGGTCTGATGGTCAGTCTGAGAGGAGGAGTAGTGGTGAGGCTGACTGATCGGTCTGATGGTCAGTCTGAGAGGAGGAGTAGTGGGCTGATGATGGTCTTGTCAGTCTAGGAGGAGTATGGTGAGGCTGACTGATCGTCAGTCTGAGAGGAGGAGTAGTGGTGAGGCGTGACTGATGGTCAGTCTGAGGGAGGAGTAGTGGTGAGGCTGACTGATGGTCTAATGGTCAGTCCAGAGGAGGAGGTCAGTGGTTGAGGCGCTGAGGATTGGTCTGACTGATCGTCATTGAGGGAGGAGTAGTGGTGAGGCTGACTGATGGTCAGTCTGAGGGAGGAGTAGTGGTGAGGCTGACTGATGGTCTGATGGTCAGTCTCAGAGGAGGAGTAGTGGTGAGGCTGACTGATGGTCTGATGGTCAGTCTGAGGGGAGGAGTAGTGGTGAGGCTGACTGATGGTCTGATGGTCAGTCTGAGGGAGGAGTAGTGGTGAGGCTGACTGATGGTCAGTCTGAGGGAGGAGTAGTGGTGAGGCTGACTGATGGTCTGATGGTCAGTCTGAGAGGGAGGGAGTAGTGGTGAGGCTGACTGATGGTCTGATGGTCAGTCTGAGAGGAGGAGTAGTGGTGAGGTTGACTGATGGTCTGATGGTCTGTCTGAGGGGAGGAGTAGTGGTGAGGCTGACTGATGGTCTGATGGTCAGTCTGAGAGGAGGAGTAGTGGTGAGGTTGACTGATGGTCTGATGGTCTGTCTGAGGGGAGGAGTAGTGGTGAGGTTGACTGATGGTCTGATGGTCAGTCTGAGAGGAGTAGTAGTGGTGAGGCTGACTGATGGTCTGATGGTCGTCTGAGGAGGAGTATTGGTGAGGTGACTGATGGTCTGATGGTCTGTCTGAGGGAGGAGTAGTGGTGAGGCTGACTGATGGTCTGATGGTCTGTCTGAGGGGAGGAGTAGTGGTGAGGCTGACTGATGGTCTGATGGTCTGTCGAGAGGGAGGAGTAGTGGTGAGGCTGACTGATGGTCTGATGGTCTGTCAGAGGGGAGTAGTGGTGAGGCTGACTGATGGTCTGATGGTCAGTCTGAGGGAGGAGTAGTGGTGAGGCTGACTGATGGTCTGATGGTCTAGTCTGCGGGGAGGAGTAGTGGTGAGGCTGGACTGATGGTCTGATGGTCAGTCTGACGGGAGGGTAGTGGTGAGGGCGACTGATGGTCTTAATGGTCGTTGAGGGGAGCGAGCAGCGGTTGAGGCTGCATCTGTCAGTCTGAGGGAGGGGAGGGAGGGAGGGGAGCAGCGGTGGTGGGAGGCGCATCTGCGTCAGTTGAGGGGAGGGAGGGAGGGAGGGAGCAAGACGGTGAGGTGCATTGGTCAGTCTGAGGGGAGGGAGGGAGCAGCGGTGAGGCTGCATCTGGTCAGTCTGAGGGGGGGGAGGAGGGAGCAGCGGTGAGGCTGCATCTGGTCAGTCTGAGGGGAGGGAGGAGGGAGGGAGCAGCGGTGAGGCTGCATCTGGTCATTCTGAGGGAGGGAGGGAGGGAAGCGTGGTGAGGCTGCAATCTGGTCAGTATGAGGGGGAGGGAAGGGGGAGCAGCGGTGTGAGGCTGCATTGCGTCATTCTGAGGGGAGGGAGGGAGGGAGCAGCGGTGAGGCTGCATCTGGTCAGTCTGAGGGGAGGGAGGGAGGGAGCAGCGGTGAGGCTGCATCTGGTCAGTCTGAGGGGAGGGAGGGAGGGAGGGAGCAGCGGTGAGGCTGCCTCTCACTCGACTCACTGTCCCTCCTCTCTCCCTCCCTCCCCTGAGAAAAGGGGACAGTCTTCCATCATATGGCGAAACTCAAATCACACTGCATTTCTACCTCATGCACCAATTCATGTTACTCCTATGACCAGAGAAAGTTAAATATTCCTTCATATTAAAAAAGACAAGCTGCTAATAATAACAACCCAAGCTTATCAGAACACTTTGCTGGTTGTAGCGTGAGTGGAAGTAGGGAGAACATGCAAACCTGAAGATGTACAAGGTTATTCTCCAGTAGAATCTTCTCTGTTTTCAGCCTGGTAATGTCATGCTCTTGCTTGAGTTTAGAATCTAAACAGAAGAACAACCCAGACACATCACCCATAAGATAAGGCAGGTCAGGCTGTATGACTACATCACACATCACCAATAAGATAAGGCAGGTCAGGCTGTATGACTACATCACACATCACCAATAAGATAAGGCAGGTCAGGCTGTATGACAGATCACAATAGGAATATTGAGCTTTTTTAGGTCATGCAAATTATGTTCACACAGACTAGAAAAATAATTGTTATAGCAACCTTGAAACAGTCCAAGTTGTTTTTCCAGGTTGTGTTTTCTGTTAGTGAAATAAGAAGGTAGAAACATGAGTACACCAACACCATGACTTAAACAATAAGTGTTTGTAATAAGGGTTTGGACGTGTGGTGGATGGTATCAGTGCTTGGTGAATCCTTACAGAACGGACGTCCTGGCGTTGTCCTCCTTTAACTGCTGCACTTCCTCTGCTACCTTCTGATATGCCTTCAACGACATCTGAGAGGATGAACACACATCAGTCATCACCTTATGGTTAAGTTCAGTGGGTTGAAACCATGCAGACAACATTGGATAACTGCTAGAATGAGGAGGATTTATTAGCCCGTTAGATAATATTGTTACCTGTGTTTTCAGCAGGTCTTTCTCCAGTGCCGTCTTCTCCTGCCTCAGCTGGACATTATCCAGGCTCTGCTTCTCTGTTGTCGCTTCATAATGAACAGGTCCACAGGAAAGACTGAGTTACATACATCAGACAGTAGACTCTTACAATGTGGATATATCAGTGGTTGAGGGTTTACAGAAAGTAGAATTATAACCAGAGACAATACCTGCTACTATTTTTAGCTGGTCCTCAAGTCTCTTCTTTCTAAGGATGAGAGAGAGAGAGAAGAGAGATTTAAGTCAGCGTAACAAGAACCAAAGAAAATGATGTAAATGTTGTTGACGAGAGAGGCTCTTACAAAGTCTCGGTGTTGTTCTGCTCCTTCAGCCTCTCCACCTCCTCGGAAAGCTGCTGGGACAACTTCTCAGAGCTCTACAGGACAGAAACACAACACTGTTAGAGCTCTACAGGACAGAAACACAACTCTGTTAGAGCTCTACAGGACAGAAACACAACTCTGTTAGAGCTCTGCAGGACAGAAACACAACTCTGTTAGAGCTCTGCAGGACAGAAACACAACTCTGTTAGAGCTCTACAGGACAGAAACTCAACACTGTTAGAGCTCTACAGGACAGAAACTCAACACTGTTAGAGCTCTACAGGACAGAAACACAACTCTGTTAGAGCTCTACAGGACAGAAACACAACTCTGTTAGAGCTCTACAGGACAGAAACTCAACACTGTTAGAGCTCTACAGGACAGAAACACAACTCTGTTAGAGCTCTACAGGACAGAAACACAACTCTGTTAGAGCTCTACAGGACAGAAACTCAACTCTGTTAGAGCTCTACAGGACAGAAACACAACTCTGTTAGAGCTCTGCAGGACACAACATTGTCATGATGAGTAGAATGGAGCATTTTCCATCTCTTACCTGCTTCGCCTCCAGCTCTGCCCGCATGACTTCGTACTCTGCATGCTGCTTTTCCAGAGAAGCTACTTTCAACTGCAGATCATCAAGTTGTATATGCAGCTTACTGGTCTCCCTGGAACAATGTTGTGTGACAGAAATAATGAATAACTTTGTTGCCAACCATTTATGTTTCCAAAAGATGTCAAATACTTTCAAAGCCATAGAAGAACATTTAGTAAAGAGGAACTAGAGAACTAATATTTCATACCTCTGGGATCTCTGAAGCTGTAAGCAAACTGTCAAGGAAAACACTTCAAATAATAATAATGCATTAAGCAGAGGTGTTGGGTCAGTATTTGAAAGGTTTTATCCAAGGCAGTCATGCGTGCATACATTTTACGTATGGGTGGTCCCGGGAATTGAACACACTATCCTAGCGTTGCAAGCGCCATGCTCTACCAACTGAGCTAGATGACCACTTCTAACAAGACTGATAGCAGTGCAACGGGGGTGGCAGGTAGCCTTGCGGATAGGCACGTTGGGCCAGTATCTGAAAGTTCGCTGGTTCGAATCCCCGAGCTGGCAAGGTGGGAAAAAAAATCTGTCTTTCTGCCCTTGAGCAAGGCAGTTAACCCCCAACACTAACTGCTCCCGGGTGCCGATGACGTGGATGTTGATTAAGGCAGCCCCCCCACACCTCTCTGGGTTCAGTAACCGACTAGGTATCCCCTTCTCTTACCAATACATCACCAGAGACTGTAACCCCATCACCAGATACAATACTGAAGAAGAGTCTGGTCGACCAATGTGTCAAACCTGGCCTTCGGTAGCAAATAGAAACTCCCTGCGCCTAGGCATTGGCTTAATCTACCAACCAATCATCTCCCACTGCCCCTTCCGCTGTACGTGTCTTACCTCCATTTGGAGACACGCCTCGCAGTCACGTGATTCCCAAAAATGTAATGATGACAAATACTTAACCTCAGTAAGGTCACTCCCACTAAGGCCAACTCTGAATCGTTGATATCCCAGGCTTATATGCGCAATACCCTGCGGATGAGGTTAGTACAATACGTAATCACCTTTAACCTCTCATCCCACTGTAGCCAGTGAAGTTAACAAAACAGACGCTTGTTATGATTGTGTTATATTGTGATGATAGTGAGACGAGTGTCCTCTGTAGCTCAATTGGTAGAGCATGGCACTTGTAACGCCAGGGTAGTGGGTTCGATCCCCGGGACCACCCATATGCAAAAATGTATGCACGCAGGACTAAGTCGCTTTGGATAAAAGCGTCTGCTAAATGGCATATTATTATTATTATTATTATACGAGTGAAGCAGTAAACAGTGGTCATCAGAACCAGAACACTGTTTGCTGTTCTGTTCATTCCAAGGGATGCACTGAAACATAATTAATGGCTGAAGAGCATGAATGACTGAAACCTAATAACTGAAGAGAGGCTGAAGAGCATGAATTACTGAAACCTAATAACTGAAGAGAGGCTGAAGAGCATGAATGACTGAAACCTAATGACTGAAGAGAGGCTGAAGAGCATGAATGACTGAAACCTAATGACTGAAGAGAGGCTGAAGAGCATGAATGACTGAAACCTAATAACTTAAGAGAGTGAATGGACTTTTGAGTCACTATTGAAAGGATATCATCGCACTTCCCTTGATATTCACTCAGCAAGTGACTGAAAAAAGTTAAACATATTACATTAGTAGCTTACTTTTTCTAAAACATACTAATCATTCACTCCAACTGTTACATTAAACATGTTAGGCCTAGCTAGATATCTGTTTTACATTGTCATTTTCGGTTCCAAAACACAGCTAGCTACATCAGATGAGTGTAGATAGAGTCTATGGGTCATATTTAGTCAAACCAGCCACCAGGTCAATGACAACACCGTTGCTGCTCTGTGAGATGTGTAGCCTACAGGCATATAGCTTTAATGTCGTGTCTGGTACCGTTTCCACACTGATGTTTATTGAGAACTGGAATGAAACTGTAATCAGAATTCTGACAATCCAAGTTTGTTTTCGACTTCCAGGAAACCAGATTACCGAGTTTGATTGAATAGCCCCCGCCCTGGGTATGTATGTAGTTAGCTAGCTATGTTTGATTGAATAGCCCCCGCCCTGAGTATGTATGTAGTTAGCTAGCTATGTTTGATTGAATAGCCCCCGCCCTGAGTATGTATGTAGTTAGCTAGCTATGTTTGATTGATTAGTTCCCACCCTGAGTATATATGTATGTACGTGTGTAGCTAGCTATGTTTTAGGGACCTGTACAGTATCATCTCGTCACACATGTCTAATAACGTTACCTAGTTACTTACTCTGAGTCAATACTTTTCTGTTTCAAAGCCAGGAGAGCTGCCACATATTCGTTTAGGTTCTACAATGAGAGAGGGTGGATTGTCCGTCAGTATAGTTAGGTGAAATATTAGCTAACTATCTTTTATCCACGTTTGAAGCAAGTATACAACAGTAGCGATAACCTTTCTCAACCCACCTGGTGAAGCACAGTGCAGTTTTGACAGGCTCCAGTAGTTGCTTCCGATGCGATTCTTGCGATTTTAGAATGATTCTCCCCCGGCATCATGATAAGAAGTCACAGTTACTGCCCAATATGCCAAACTTGTAAAGCAAAAATATGTAAAAATAGAACTACAGACATTAAAAACACAAAAACTTGACAACAAATTCGGCATGACGCAAACGCACTGTCCCACGTTGACTCAGGACCCGAAATACAGACGGGGTTGTCTATAGAAATGCCGGTCTGAAAAAGTTACACCTTTGCATTTATATATATATATATATATATATATATACATGTTTTATTTTTATTTTATATTATTAACAACAAATCAATACAAAAAGTACATGGGGGAACACAAGTATATATAAAGAATATACAAAGGACAAGTGGGCTAGGGGTGGGGCTAGGGGGTACAATATCACATTACACAAGGACAAAGGACAGTTGGGCTAGGGCGGGGCTAGGGGGTACAATATCACATTACACAGGGACAAAGGACCAGTAGGCTAGGGGCGGGGCTAGGGGGGACAATATCACATTACACAGGGACAAAGGACCAGTGGGCTAGGGGCGGGGCTAGGGGGTACAATATCACATTACACAGGGACAAAGGACCAGTGGGCTAGGGGCGGGGCTAGGGGCGGGGCTGGGGGGTATAATATCACATTACACAGGGACAAAGGACAAGTGGGCTAGGGGCGGTGCTAGGGTCGGGGCTAGGGGTTATAATATCACATTACACAGGGACAAAGGACCTGTGGGCTAGGGGCGGGGCTAGGGAGTATAATATCACATTACACAGGGACAAAGGACCAGTGGGCTAGGGGCGGGGCTAGGGGCGGGGCTAGGGGGTATAATATCACATAATACACAGGGACAAAGGACCAGTGGGCTAGGGGCGGGGCTAGGGGGTACAATATCACATTACACAGGGACAAAGGACCAGTGGGCTAGGGGCGGGGCTAGGGGCGGGGCTAGGGGGTGCAATATCGCATTACACAGGGACAAATGACCAGTGTGCTAGGGGCGGGGCTAGGGGGTATAATATCACATTACACAGGGACAAAGGACCAGTGGGCTAGGGGCGGGGCTAGGGGCTGGGCTAGGGGGTATAATATCACATTACACAGGACCTTAAGGGACATACACACATTTATATTTCTAACAGATTTTTTGTTGGTAGAGTATTTAATTGTCTTAAAATATAGTTCAATTTCTTTTTGTATGGTAAGAAAATGTGGTGTTTTGTTTGTAAATTTACATATGTGAATATTGAAATTTGGCCAAAAGAATAATGAAATTAATTACATAAAATTGGTTCAACTTATTTCTATCGTAGGTAAAGAATCCAAGCAGTAAATCTTTCCATAATAGTGTAAAATCTTAATAAATGTGTTCAATTATAAATCTACGGATGTCTTGCCACATATTCCTTACATGAATACAATGCCAAAAAAGATTCAACACCGTTTCTGGGTGGTCATTACAAAAGGTACAATTTGAATTTATGTTTTTCTTAAACTTCTTCGTATAGTGATTGGTAGAATAATATTTATGAATAATTTTAAAAGAAATGTTGTTTTAAGTAGGTATGTGTGGGGCAACATCCAAACTTTTTTCCAACAGATATTATCAATAAAACCATTCCAATAAGGCATGACATAAGGTTTATAGTTACAACATCCTGCTGAAACAAGGCTCCTATAGCTCTATTGTTGTTGAATGGACCGAAATAAAAACAAATCTTTCCTACTGATGAGTCAACAGGGTTAATCATAGGCAGTGGCGATTTTAGCGTGTAAATATTGGTGCGGCAAACTCCCCAAATTAGTTTTAGATGCATGCCAGCAAAGCCACTACACAGCACAACACTAAACAATACATTAATTGCACTATAATGGTGACAAACGGTGCCCACTGCATAAAGCTGTCCCAACAACAGAGCTTTCTTTTCAGCACCATGGAGTGAATCCTTACCACCGCTACACCTGGCTATCAACGGAGCCATGTCTGGCAGCGAAACAGTTCATTCAGCCTCATTTACTGCCTTTAAAAAAAACATAGCTGATATGGCTGACTTGCTTAAACTAATGTGGTTTCTACTGACAATTGAGATGTACAAACTATGGCATAAGGGGATGACGAGCGGATAAGAGGCAATGCGTAATTTCGATTAAGACATTAATAAGCGAGCTAGGATGGATGTAGTCAATATAACTATTTGTTCAGCACTTTTAAAATGTACAGTTACTGAATTCAGAACATGGGCCGTTCTTACAGTATTCTCCCTGTACACCAAGTCAGAACCGTAGGATAAATAAAGGGGGCATATAAGCAGACAATGATAGCTCTTACAATATTCAATGATTACATTTCTCTAAAACAGGCTATAGGCTACATGTGCACCACCAAGTGAGAACAGTAGGCTAAGTTATGAGGGGGAAAGGGACCAAATTATAAGGGTGAGGCCCATGGGCTACTAACAGCTTACTACACAACATACACTTAGTATTACATTCTTAGCTACAGTATACATATTTCCCTGGCGTATTACATAATTTATGCAGTAGTATACAATACATTTTTGGACTCACCTTGTTGTGCTGTGCTAACTTGAACAGGAAGGTGGCGTGGTGGTCCTTCATGGGCAAATTTTGTCATCAAACGTTGTTATCAAAGTCTGTCATTCTATGGATTTATGGCGCTTTTAAGACAACTGGGAACTCTGGAAAAAAACAAGGTTGAATCATGACGTCAGTGACCTTCAGGTCGGAGCTCTAGAAAGAGGCCCAAGTTCCCGACTTGGAATACCGAGTAGGATGACCGTTCAAAACGTATTTTCCCAGTCGGAGCTAATTTTTTTCCAGAGTTCCCAGTTGTCTTGAACTCACTGAAGTCTGAGATTTCCCAGTTCCGCGGCAGAAATCATGCTGGATTGACAGCATGGCCAATGTATTCAACCTTTTATGGCCCATGGTGTTGAATATTTATCCTTTTAAGCTTGGAAAAGAGACCCTTAAACCTTAAACCTTAAATTTTCGATTTCCAACTTGTTGTGTAATGTTTATGTCCAATGGCCGATGAGCACCGATACGTTTTATCTATAATTTCTCATCATAATTTCTCTTCATATGACAATGATTGAAAAGGATTTGCCAGTAGATTGTCGACTTGATTCATGATGATGACTGCTAGCTTGCTAGCTAAGATTTTGAAAGTATGACGTTGACGTGATCAGTCCAATCAAAGCTACGGTAGATATAACGTGATTTGATGTCAGTTTATCTGTGGCCAATGAACTTGAGCCTTCTTGGATGGGTACTTCTAATGTAACTCTATGGCAGCAACCGAGGGGCTTTAATTTGAGCTCTACAGGTAGATTTTGCGGTGACGTAGTGTCCCCATAATTGACAGAACACTGAGCCAATCACGGCGCAACTAGAGAACATTACCAACCCCTACGCTCCGTATTTTCTGCTGGCTGCCCCACCACCACAGAAAGCACTGAGCTAGGCTGAAACACCTGCATTTTGGAGCTGCCTTACTCAAGAAAGCAAAAAAGAGACCATGTTTGCATGCGGCTTTATTAACTCAACGATTTTTTTTTTTTTTTTTACATTGTTTGCAAACTGATATGTGACAGGTATTAATGCCAAAATAACATGCAAAACAGGCAACAACAAAAAAAAAGATATACAGTGCCTTCGGAAAGTATTCAGATCCCTTGACTTTTTCCACATTTTGTTGGTTACAGCCTTATTCTAAAATTGATTTTTTTTAAATGTTACTCATCAATCTACACCCAGTACCCCATAATGATCAAGCAAAAACAGATTTTTAGGAATTTTTGCTAATTTTAAAAATAAAATAAACTGAAATACACATTTACATAAGTATTCAGACCCTTTACTCAGTACTTTGTTGAAGCACCTTTGGCAGCGATTACAGCCTCAAGTCTTCTTGGGTATGACACTACAAGCTTGGCACACCTGTATTTGGGGAGTTTCTCCCATTCTTCTCTGCAGATCCTCTCAAGCTATGTCAGGTTGGATGGGGAGCGTCGCTGCACAGCTATTTTCAGGTCTCTCCAGAGATATTCGGTCAGGTTTAAGTCCGGGCTCTGGCTGGGCCACTCAAGAACATTCAGAGACTTGTCCCGAAGCCACTCTTGCGTTGTCTTGCCTGTGTGGTTAGGGTCATTGTCTTTTTGGAAGGTGAACCTTCGCCCCAGTCTGAGGTCTGGAGCAGGTTTTCATCAAGGATCTCTCTGTACTTGCCTCGATCCTGACTAGTCTCCCAGTCCCTGTCGCTGAAAAACATCCCAACAGCATGATTCTGCCACCACCATGCTTCACCGTAGGGATGGTGCCAGGTTTCCTCCAGACGTGATGCTTGGCATTCAGGCCAAAGAGTTCAATCTTGGTTTCATCAGACCAGAGAATCTTGTTTCTCATGGTCTGAGAGTCTTTAGGTGCCTTTTGGCAAACTCCAAGCTGGCTGTCATGTGCCTTTTACTGAGAAGTGGCTTCCGTCTGGCCACTCTACCATAAAGGCCTGATTGGTGGAGTGCTGCAGAGATGGTTGTCCTTCTGGAAGGTTCTCCCATCTCCACAGAGGAACTCTAGAGCTCTGTCAGAGTGACCATAGGGTTCTTGGTCACCTCCCTGACCAAGGCTCTTCTTCCCCGATTGCTCAGTTTGGTCGGGCAGCCAGCTCTAGGAAAAGTCTTGGTCGTTCCAAACTTCTTCCATTTAAGAATGATGGAGGCCACTGTTTTCCTGGGGACCTTCAATGCTGCAGACATTTTTTGGTACCCTTCCCCTGATCTGTGCCTCGACACAATCCAATCTCGGAGCTCTACAGACAATTCCTTCGACCTCATAGCTTGGTTTTTGCTCTGAAATGCACAGTCAACTGTGGGACCTTATATAGACAGGTGTGTGCCTTTGCAAATCATGTCCAATCAATTGAATTTACCACAGGTGGACTCCAATCATGTTGTAGAAACATCTCAAGGTTGATCAATGGAAACAGGACGCACCTGAGCTCAATTTCGAGTCTCATAGTAAAGGGTCTGAGTACTTATGTAAATAAGATATTTCTGTTTTTAATTTTTTATAAATTTGCAAAAATGTCTAAAAACTTGTTTTCGCTTTGTCATTATGGGGCATTGTGTGTAGATTGCTGAGGATTTTT